GCACCTCCTCTTAGAGGATGGAAATGGCAGTCGGCCACCCATTCCCTACCCACAACCAACACAAATCTGTCTCCTCCTCAGCAGGAGCAAAGTGAGTAAAGAGTGTGAGCTCAGTCCTCCTGCCTGGAAATCACAGCCCATCTCACTGCTGTCAAAAGGCAGGGAAGGCTTGCCAGCACCAGTTGGATCTCCAAACTGTAAATTGTAAGAAAGCTCTTTCCTGCCTTCACTCAGCAATGCAATAGCTGCTTTGCAACCAGCTGCAGGAGGGTAAGGAAAAAAACCCACCAGAAACTGTTTAAGCTGCTAAGTCTGTTACATAACCAAAACTAAAAAACAGGAGAGGGTTAGTAGACACATCTACACTAACAACCCTCTAGCAGAATTTTTGGGATAGATTTTTCCCTTTACTCTCCCCAACCCCCACTGAAAGAACAAGAGTTAAAACATCAGTAGGGCAGTATCTGTATTCCACAGAGAGGGACATCACTGAGACAACAACAATGGTGTGCATGCCCATGTGTATATTCAAGAGTATATACTCACTTACAGTACTTTATATAAAGGAAAACTTTGCTACTAATGGATAGAAAAAAATATCAGAAAGAGAAGAGTAGGGGAGGATAGAGTGGCCCCCATAATTCTCACAAATTCTCAAACTCCACCTGTGCCTACCACCATTAAAATGCGTAGGTTTTTTCTTTAAGAGTGGTGGGTTTCCCCATCTTAAAGTTCTTGTTCCTACAAGAATTATAAAGAAAACCCCAACAAATCCACAAACAGTCAAAGAAAATCTACAAACAAACTTCTTCCAGAAGGAGAAAAATTTTTTGTTTTCTCTGATTTGATAAAATCTCTCCTGTTGAAATCCACTTACAAAAACAATACTAAAAAGCTCAGCACAGCAGTTAACCAACAGAGGAGCACCAGCCAACTTTGCTTTTACTTAAACAAATCTTGTATGACAGACTGTCGTGAGTATTTGAATTTTCTTTCAAGATAACATTTTGCCATTCCTATGACATGTCCATTTTCTTGTTCTTTTTAAAAAAGGCACTTGACTCTAGTGTAGTATCTTTCATCTGACAAATTAACAAGAGGACTGCACTGATCACTTTTTTCAAGCATCCAATTATGAGTGTTTCTATCAAGCATCCACATTATAATTCTCAGTAATGAGAAACTGTGAGTAGAAACATCAGTGCTAGTGCTTCCAGAAGTGAGATTCTCAATTTGTTATAGCCACATGGAGACCTTTGTAGAGGGATTCCCACAAACACCACTCACCACCTACAGCAACTACTGCAGGCCTTGCTCACCTTAACGAAGAAGCTTAACCTAAATGTTCAGACACTTGTGTTAGCTCCTGGATTCTCCTGGATGTAACATGGGGGCCAATCAAAAGTTTAGGCATCTAAAAAAAAATGTCTATTCGACAGTTTTGAAAGGTGAGGCTATCCAGCAAGCTTCTCCGCAGCAGTAACAATAAAACACCTTTATTACCACTGCAGCACAGATGGGGTCCTCTATCAGCCTGAAACAGCTTTGTTCAGCTTCCCCATCCCTGAGCTGAGCTTCAGCTACTGAGCTCTCCTCCAGCCAGCACTTCTACAGCTTGTGAGAGAGAAAGCAAGCACTCAGTCTGAGAAGCCCCACAGAGACACTGGTGCCCTCATTCAGGCTGAAAATAAGCTTGCTCCAACAGGGGGGTGGGGGGACTGTCTGTTTAGGTTTATTTTTTCCTCATTCCAAAGACATTACTATTCATTAAAGTCACATTTAAGCTCAAACAACCAAAGCCCTTGGGATCACTGATAAAGGAGCAGCAGAAAAATTGAGATATATGCCCCGAACAGTCATCACTTCAAGGACCTCCTCAAATCTTTCCATAAAAATGAGAGCCAACTGAGACAAAATACAGTCTTGTTGACAGAACAGCAAGCCAAGCTAGCAAGCAAGACTACTGGTTATTTCTGAGTGCAGAAATCACATACCCCAGTACTGTGGGTATATCAGACATCCAGGCTTCTGGTGAAAAAGGGCATTTCAAGAAACTGCAGTTAATAACACACTGCCATCTCCAAGTAGCCAAATTAATTTGAAAAAGACAGATAAAGATTCAACAATCTTCATTTCTTCCTGCAAGAACCAAAATTACCTGTCAAATTGTCCACCTCATTTTACCTTACTTGTTAAACTGTTCAACTGCAATTAAGTCGTGAGCAAAACACATGGCATCTTTGGCTTTTCTCACCTAATAATAATGTCTTCTCAGAGCAGAGCTTTCTGGGTCCTGGGATTGGAGATTTTTCTTCCACCATGCTCCTTGTGATTGCAGGAAAAAAACCCTCATCACACAAGAGAATTCAAAATTAATTCCCCTCTCCCACCATCACAGTGCTCTGGGTGTTTCTGTAATTAGTGCATCTCAAGCTTGTCTAGAACAAGACAAGGACTGGCATTTTAGCATCAAGAGCCAGCAATTTCTTATGTGTAAATCCTGCTTCGATGGCAATGCCTTTAATCACCTTCATGAAACCACCCACCAACACATGCAAACTCCCTCCCCTGCCCCTCAGCCCCTCTTCTGCATCTTCTGCCTTTACATCAGGAACAGAAATCCATCACTTTCTCGTGGGAGACTGCCACAGCCAGCTACTGACTAGGCTTCAGCCTGAAAGCCACAAACACACACACTCCCCACATCCAAACTCACACCCACCATGAACTTGAGGTATACTTAATTGCTAAAGAGTTAATTCCTTTCATCTGTATAACCGAAAATAGTGGTTTTGCAACACACAAATATTTTACAAGTATTTTTGGTAATCTAATCAAGGAAAACTTGGTTAGAATCAGTAAACTACTGCATAGTGCTCTGACGGACTAAATGGGTTCCTCCCCACAGTACCTGGGTAACAGTCAGAGCCTTTTGCAAAATGATGAATGAAAACCGTGTTTCTCAGCCCATACTCTGTTCAGTAATAACTTAGATCATGTTGAAGCTGCAAACAGATTTAAAACAATTGCAGCAATGTTATTTCAGATAATATCCAGTACAGAACTTTGTACAGAAGACAGCAAAAGTTTCATGTACCAAAAATCTTCGAAACAACCAGATGTCTCAGATTAAGTTATTTAAACCACCAGCACTCTGTTTCTGAGCCTGCAGAATATAACCTTATTTACACAGCATCTCATTTTAATAGGCAACCTAAGAATTTCCAAAAAAGAAACAAAAAAAATTCCACAAAACCAGATGGCAAAACAAACATTCTAGATTAAAAGAAAAGGGCGGGAGGAGGAAATAACCCCACAATTAAAACGAGTACAAAAGCTTAAGTAACAGCAACACTGGCTAGATCCAGTGAGGATTTATGCAAATTACTTTTTTCAGGCACGAATGATCTTTTTCAGCAGAATACACATCAAGAGAGCAGAGACATCTAATCAAAGAGATCCTGGAGGGGTGAAACCTTTCACAGTCTCAGATGAACACAATCCCTCAGGGAAATGATGGTGTTTGGTTCATTTAATCGACATTTTGCTATTCCTGCTTTCTGAAGAGCTGCTGCGGAGTCAAGAGCAATTGAGGGCCAGGATCAGGGCCAGGTTTACAGCCAGGGTAAGGAGATGCAAATCAATTAACTTGTGAAGTGTTACACTTATTTACATTAAGCGACGATTTTCATCCGAGTGTTTTAATGGGATGATACTGGATGGCACAGTGGGCAACACACCAGAAATCATTCATCTACGTAGGTGGCATAAACACGTAGTAAACATATTTTTCATGAATTATATCCATTACCAAAGGGTAATTATACAGCCAGCACTCTGGCTTCCGTGTACGGATTTAGTGGCATGCCGTTTAAAAAAAATAAATTAATTAATTCTCTGTCTGAACTGCTCCATCACAGAGGCAACACAGCTCTTTAACCTCTCTGTCACTTTCAGCTACATTGCCTCTGGGCTTTATGAGCGCAGAGCTGTGCCCAAGACAAGCCCACGGGTGTTTCCGAAGTGACCCCGGCACGCTGCCACCGCACGTGTCCCGGCGCTGCCTCGGGCGGGCTGGCAGGGCCGGCCCCGGGAGCGGCACCCGGCAGCGTGCCCGCACCGCTCCGCCCCAGGGCGCCTTCTGGTGCCCCCTGCCCGCCTCCAGCCCCGGGGTTAAACCCCGCAACATCTACCGATCCGCCCGCTGGAAAAAATAGAGCTGCTTTCCCAGCCCCCTGATCCAGTGTCATCCCAGCCCATGGGAGGGATGGTTGAAACTAGACGATCTTTAAGGTGTCTTCCAAGCCAACTATTCTGTGATTCCAGAGCTGCGTGGCACAACTCCCCCCTCCGATTGACGAAAGCTCCTAATTCACTGTTTGCCTGGTTGTTGTAAGTACGAAAGCTGCGCTAGCCAGGCTTTCCCAGAAGTTTAACCACGCCACGGCTCCTCGCGAGCCGATGCCGCCGCACCTCTACCTACCTCACAATGGACACTTTGCCCAGGAAAGGCCACTTAAAATGAAAATATGAGACGCACCTTCCGCTTAACCCTTATTGACAAGCGCAGGCTTTGCGTCCCCTGGACAGTGTGCCGGTCTGCTGGGAATGGGCAGCTTGCAGCAGCTTGTGCCCCTGCGTACAGGTCCCGTGTTACTCTGCTCCATCACACCGCGGATAATCTTCCTCTGCTCCAGCAGTAAGACCCCGGACACCCGGCGAGCCCGGCCGCCCCCAACACCCGCGACCACCGCACCCGCGCCGGGTCTCGCCCAGCCCGGCCCCGCACTCCGGACCGCGCACTGCCCGTGGAGCCAAGCCCGTACGGCAAAGACACTAACCCCAAAAATAAATCACCTCCCGCGCACGCCCCCCGGCAGGGTGCGGGCTGCAGCTCCCCTCCGCCAGCCGCGCAGTTCCAGGTCGCGACCGATGGCGGATCCCCGCGGGGTGAACCCGGGGCTGCCGCAGGGCAGCGCTCCCCCCACGGCCCACCTCACCTCCCACAGCAGCGAGAGCAGCAGCGCGACCCCCGGCTGGAAGCGCTTCATCTCTCCTCCTCCTCCTCCTCCTTTTCCTCCTCCTCCCGCGGCGGCCGCGGGCTCGCCCCTCCGCCTCAGGCGTTCACGGGCGCTGCCAGCAGCGCCATCCCCGACGGCGGGGGAGCTCCGGGCGGCAGCGCGCACGGCGGGCTCACAGGCAGCCCGGGGAGGCGGCCGCGAGTAGCCCGCACCGGGGGCAGAGGGACGAGGCGGGCTAGAGCGGCGGCGGGGCGGGGAGGGAGGCGTGGAAGCCCCGCAGCAGGGCGGGGGCGGGCTGACCCGCCGATCCCCTCGGCGGCAGTGTCGGCGGCCGGAGCCGAGCGAAGCGGGGTCGGGGCGAGGCGGAGGACGGCCGGTGCCGGGGCGGGCGGCACAAAGAGGCCGGGCGCCGCCGCCGCCGAGGGCGGGCACAGCAGCGGCCCGCCCCGGCCCCGCCCCGCGCCGCTGCCCGGCCGGGAGAGGGCGGTGGCGGAGGATGAGTGGCCCCGCGTTTGCCCCATTATCTGCTCCTGCCCCGCATCTGGCCCTGCCCCTGTCACCGCCCCCGCACCTGCCCCCGCTCTGCCTTGAGGCCGCGCCGTCCGCGGGTCGCCCGTGACCACGACACCCCTTCCCCAGAAGAACGATTTTTCGGAGTGAATCCTGAGGAGGCCACAAAGATGCCCAGAGGGCTGGAGAGTTTCTCCTACGAATAGTAGAAGAGTTTGAGCACTTTAGCCTGGAGAAGAGAAGGTTCTGGGGACACAGCATCCTTGTATTATCTAAAGGGGAGTTACAAGAAAAATGAGGACGGATTTTTTACCTGTAGCGATAGACCAATGGGCAATGATTTGAAAAGAGAGTCAATTTAAGTTGGACATGGAAGAAATCTTCTACAATGAGTTTGGTGAGACACTGGAACCAGATTTCCCCAGAAGTTGTGGATGCCCTATCCCTGGAAGGGTTCACAGTTGGGTTGGATGATGCTTTGAGTAATCTGGTTTTGTGGAAGGTGTACCTCCCCATGGCATAATCTTTGAGAGCCCTTCCCAACTCAAGTAATTCAGTGGTTCTGTGATTCTATAAGGTGTTCCCTCTGCCAGCCTGGTGGGTGGGAACAGGAGCTGTGTATCTTGGCCTAGCTCCCCTTGCCCATGCAGTAACCTTTGGCATTTCAGAGAAGAGGTCTGGTCCTTCGTTTCCTCAGCATGCTTGGTGACAGCCCTGCCACATCTACCTGTAAAGGTCTCATGACAAATCTGAAGTGGAGGTACTCTCCAACTCAGGTACTGATCTCTCCAGCTCCAGGTAGCTGGTGTAGTTACGCTTTGGGTGTTTCCTTCACCATGACCATCTTGCCCTGGTGCTTTGAGCCTCCTTTCCCACACCCATTGCACCCTTACCACAGCTGGACACTGTATGCAGTTGGAGGGAGGCACAGCTCTTGTCTGAGTTTAGGAAGGTTAGAAGTCTCTTGCTCTTGCTTTGTAGATAAACTAGCAACTTATGCCTTAGGGGAAAACCAAAATAGATAAGGGGGAGAACTGCCCCATTTCCCTCTGAAGGGCAAACTTCTTCCAGTAGCATTTCTGAAGGAGATACACCTCCCACTGTTCTTTCCTGGGCTACCTATTAAAAAAACTACTAGCAAATCCTCACAACTCGCAATTCCTTTGTTCACCACTTCCCTGTTGTTATAGTATTCAAGCAGGAAACTTGCCATCTCCTGATGCCATATTGCAGCAAAACATCACCAGGTGGTTATTTTTTCCATAGAGTGAACTTTGGATGAGTTTATGAGCATCTTCCAGCTGGCACCATTAATCATACATACTCTCAGACCCGAGTCATACGCTTTATGTAAGGAGTAACTGTACACAGGTTCTCACACACAGTATGACATTGTGTACTCAGAGGCAGCCTGCACAAGTCCTTCTTGAGGGCCACTCATTTTGATACTCATTTTTGTCTCTGTTTGATGCCAACCAATCTGAAACTGTGAGATAACATTTTCAGATGAACGCTTACATCTCTAGTTGAATTTGCTAGAAGGTGCCTAAGGAAATGTCATGGCCGTTGCTTTGTCCAACAGTGAAGTCTGAATGAGGCAATTATACACACAGGTGTCTATATAATCTGAGTTGAAAAGTTATGCTTTCTTACATCTGGCATATTGAGAAAGACACATTTTACACTGGGTATCACCTAAGAGGGATCAACTTACATTGTTTCAATATAACAATTCAAAGTCAGGCATCACTTCAGAAAGGCTCCAATTTATAGAAATTTGAAAAGGATGGTTATCAGATCTCTATCTGATATATGGCTAACCCTAAACTCCCTTCCCAATTCTAATTTCTGTGTTGTATGACCCAGGAGACAGCATTTTGGAGACAAAATGACTCTCCATTGAGAAGATGAAGAAAAGCATGAAGATGTTTAGGGACATCAAATGAATCTGAATGTCAGTGCTGAGCATGAGTGCTCTGTGCTGCTGTTGTTTCCCAGCAAGGGTGCTCTGGCAGCCCAGAGACAGGCAGAAATCCTGACAGTGCAAATTCTGGGACAACTGAGAAAGTAGTAAAGCTTAAACAAAAGTTAGGAAAGAAGTCTGGAGTCTTGCAGCCTAAGACACTACCACACTTGAAGGTTGACCCTGCCAAAACTTTCAGCTGATGGCCCACTATCATATGTGTCCATGCAAGAGCAAGCTCTAAAATATATTTCAGTTAATCATTAACAAATACATCACTACTGACTTTAGCTTGAGAACTAATAAAGTGTTAGATTATTTTTTTCTCAAAAAAAGATTTCAGCTAAGGCAAAAAAGGCTAAAATAATTAGCAGTTTTTAATCAATAGACAGATCAGCAAGAGTGAGATTGAAGCAGCAGTGGGCTGGAGGAAGAGGAAGCTGCCCAGTGTGGAAGCATGTGCTTCCCAGTGCATAGTTCATTATCCAGACTAGATAAGTTTATTATCCAGACTAGATGGATATCCCATGCTATAAAATTCTTTCCAGGCTGACATAAGCTGAAAAAGGAAAAACCATCTCCTGACCTAGGAATAAACAGTTTCATATTCTGTTTCAATCATAACTCAGCTCCCCTAAGTGATGTCTTCTTTCATTTCCACCTAGCTTCAAGAAACCATCTTCAACCCCAGGGAAAGCCCATTAGCTTTAATGGAGTTCAAATACAAATGAACTTGGCTCAGCATGTGGCATTTTCTCAGCAGAAGTGTGAGTTGCAGCAGAGCCCCTCAGAGCTTGTCTAGGCGAGAAATGAACACTTTCCCTCCACTGTGCTGCAGCTTCATGTCGAGGCAGCTTGACACAACAGAGAAACAAGATAAGGCTTTTGTGGGAGGCAAGGTCCCTAGCTAAAAAAACAGCCCCTTCCTTCACATCCTGATTCTAGTGTATCTTCAGTTATTGTGTTCAAAAAGCTTAAAAATCCAGAGTTTCCAGAATCTGTGTATAGAAACAAATATATATATTTTAAAATAAAATAAAATAGTTTCAGGAACAGTAACAGTAACAAAGCTTTATTTTAGCTGATTGAAGCTTGTACTGCAGCTGAAATATTCATAATATGCTGCTTCTCTGTGGAATCTTAGGTGTTCCTCAATAATATTGCCATAATTCTCTCAGCAGAGGTTACCATTATTAATATATTTCTTTTACTCTTTTACTCTTTTACTCTTTTTTACTCTTTTACTCTTTCCTGAAATGTAAAAGCATACATTATTTTTGAGACTGCCAGTCCTTTGTCAGTTTTTCTTTTTCAAACTGAGTAACAGGTATAAAAATTCAGTAACAGGTATGAAAATGCACTCACAGTGCATATAGATGCATGTTTTCTGTACACCTTATTTATTTTGAACACTTGAATATTTTTAAATACATAAAAAATAAACTGTTTGTATTGAACACTTCCTTGTTAATGTTGAAACAGTTGTGTTGTTTCTAATACTACTGAGAAATATTCAATTCCACAAGGACTGTGTGTGAAGCAGGTAACCACTTTATTATGAACAAACAAATATGTTATTTTCATTTGCTTCACTGCATGAACTATAAATAATTATGTACTTCTAGAATTTTGCATTTAAAATATTTCACTACCTTCTTCACAGGTTCTATTAAAAATTAGCCAAATCCTTAATTGTTTTCCAAACTCTCTATTTTAAGTATAGGATCACCTCAAATATATTTTGAGGGTTTGGAGGGTTTTTTATAATTATGTAAATGGCAATAGCCTTTATCAGGAAGTTAAATAAAGCCCTTTTAAAGTGTATAAATATTCAGTAAATGTCTAAAGTCTTCAAAAACCATCACTGGTATCTGTTGAGAACCTACACTAGCATTATTCATTTAAAAAAAGGTAAGAAAAATATTAATGAATGCAGCAATAGCCAGCCAAGACAAACACAACATTATATTTCTGCAGCTTCTGTATCTTGTTCAAGGCACTTTGTTTATCCAGGGTGTGTTTAAAGAAAAAACAAAAAACCCCACCATTTTTTTCTAACCATCTAGCAGTTTTACAAAATGGTGTAGTCTCTTGGCAGAATAATAGTTAAATTATAGTCCTACTTCTCAGATTAAAGGCTAATTTTTATTTTTTTTTTTATCACTTGCACCAGTAAGTAATCATTGTGATTGACTTTAAATGAAACTTTAAAGGAAATGTGACTCAGAATTTGTTGAAATTTCAACAACCTACTCCAAATTCAGTTGTATATTGATACCAGTGCCTCTATCTTCAATAATTAGATTTCAGTAAGAGTCTGTGGAGGTTTAGAGAAATAATCCAGATGTAGTAGCCCTCTTTCCAATACTAATGTAAGAGTTTATACCTCCTCCAACTTATTTTCTGTGTGGAAGGATATTACTGAGCTATGTGGAACTGACGAAAAAAATGTACCTGATTCATATCTTAGTATTCTAATACATCCATTGATCTTCATTAATATCTGAAAACTGAATGAAGAAGTCACTTTTCCATAACTAATGACATTAAGTACACCTCACTGAATTGAAACAGAATGACTGCTTATTGGATTATGCTCTGACACCTCCAAATAAAAGTCCATGGTAGCCATAGTCACTACTACACTGGAAGTCTGTGTCCACTTGAAAGAAAATATAACAGA